GGTTAGGTCAGGGCCCTCACGGTCAAATCCCTTCTGACAGTGTCCTCAGAGACACAACCAGGAGTGTTTTTTACTACTCTCCTAGGTATCTCATGATGCAATCAACCTGACAGGCAAAGCTGGCCACCACAGGCTCTCAGCTGGCCACCCAGCTCTCTCTATAAAAATGACTGCAGGAGCACAGAGAGATGGAGATGGGTGTCTGTCAGGGAGAACTGCCAGAGTTCAAGGAATCCTAACGCCAGGTACCCTGCCACACAACCTCTCCCAACAATAGCATATGTGGTGAGGGGAAACCTCCAGGCTGGGAAACTGGGCTTTAACAGCTCCCACCAGAGCCTGAAGGACTCTGGTGATAGTGACAAATCACTCTTGAAAACTGAAAACACTGAAGGAGAGATTCCGAGTCACATGGGGGCCTGTGAGGAGAGACATCTTAGTTCTCAGTAGGGGAAGCTGAAGGATGACTAGCTTGAGGCCAATCATGGGTGAATATCTACCCAGATCAAGAGAATCATAGTGAGAAACCCCAAGAATGGTGGGGGTAGGGCCCTGTCTACCCCCTTCCACCGAGAACACTTTACCCTTCTCATGCCAGTACTCATCACGAGTGCTCTCATTCTCGACCTCTTCTTCCACCCGGAAGGACCAGAGAACCCTGTTCAACACCCTGACAGCAGTGTCTGGATTTGGCACGCCACAGGCAGCCTGGCTTCTGGAGTGTTCCTTAAACTGAAGTAAAATTCAGGCTAGTAGGCAGGTGTGGAGACTTAATGGTCAGAATGAGACATTTTTTGATTTTCGATGACCAGAGGACATTTGATGTTCATAACACCAAGCCCTCCACCGGCACATACATACGAACCCGAGGATTTGCCCTAAACCTCATTCAAATGGAGCTTTGCAAGTCAGAGGCAGAGGAGAATCATAATAAGTTTGTTTTTAGTACAGAAAGTTTATTTGTGATGTGAACCAGGACAATGAGGCAAAGAAGGATAAACCCTGAGGAGTGTTAACGGAGCCGCCGAGGGAGGCGGGAGAGCTCAGTTCTGCAGGAAGAGTGTGCAGAAGGGTCCCATGGCCCACTGAGTGCGGGAAACTGAGTCGTTAATTTTCAAACAACAGCTCTAGAGCTCTAGAGTTGTTTTTTTAATTACACGTGTTGTGAGTTTAATACAGGACGTACATCCATTTTTTTCCTTTCCCATTAAACTATTATTTCTTCTCCAGAATTAACTAGTGCTTCTCTTCCCCTCTACCTCCTTTCCTCCCTCTCTCCCTCTCTCAGTCCCTCTGCCCTTCTTGCCTACTGTCCTTCCTTTTTCGGGTTTTTGAGACTGAGTTTCTTTGTGTAGCCTTGGCTGAGCTGGCACTCTGTAGACCAGGCTGGCCTTGAACTAAGAGATCTGCCTGCCTCTGCCTCCCGAGTGCTGAGATTAAAGGCACCACTTAAAGGCTCACTTGATATCTTTCATTTGTTTCATGGCCTCAATGGTTTTGACTTCTAGTTATCCATCTTTCTTCTTGCTACTTTATAACATGCTACATTGTAAACATGTCCTGCAGTGCATTTGATTCATTTTCCTTCCTGCTGATCCACTAGAGACTTTCAGCAGGGTGGACAGCTCGTGATCCAAATAGTTTTCACTGCCGTGTTTCTTTTCTGCCTTTCACCTCTCTCTGGGGGCTTTCTTGTGTTTCTGTTCCATAAGAATGAACCCACAAATCCCACAGGTTAGGTTTGTGCCTTCCTGTTTCTCAGTTCATCCTTTCTTAAAACAAAAAATGCTGGAGACTTGATGACCTGGGGTGGGTTATTGGAAAGGGGGGACTCCCCTTTTCTAAGGAATAAGAGAAAGGGGAAAAAAGGGTAGGAAGGGGGATAGGAAGGAAAGGAGGAAGGGATGGAAGGTGAATAAATAAATAAATTAATAAAAATGCCGGAGGGTAGGTTTTCTGGAACTTGTTTTTTTTTTTTTTTTTCGGAGCCGGCAGGATGGCTCAGTGGGTGAGAGCATTTGCCCTGTGAGCCTGGCTGCTTGAGTTCCATCCGCAGAACCTCCTTAAAGGTGGAAGGAGAGGACCATCTCCATGAAGCTGTCCTCTGGCCTCCATGTGGGTGACTGTGGCATGTGCCACCCCTGTCACACGCACATACATACCCCCCAAAGGACAAAGAAAAATCCTTTTATTCCATCTTTAAGTTTGACAGTTCAGCTGAGTACAGATTTTAGGTTAAATGTATTCTGTTTGCAGGATTTTAACCCCTATCTTTTTTTTTTTAATTTTGTTTTGTTTTTGTTTGTTTATTTATTTATTTTTTACCTTCTTAGGATGGTGTTGAGAGTTAGAAGTCATACTAAGAAATGTGAATTGATTTTTTTTTCTCCCTCACCCCCTTATAAATTTTTATCTCTGTGGTTCTGAAATTTCACCATTGGGAGATGTCACTTTAGAGCCAGGGAGGGGGGGATGTCCAGTTTTTAAAAAAAAAAATTTTTTTTTAACTTGAAGATCTCAAAATGCCAAACAATTGGGGTGTTTATTCTTCAGAATCTCAAGGTTCTGGGAACAAGTAAGGGAAGAGTACGGATATTTCGCTACTTATGCATAGACTCCTGCGGTCTATACTTCCAGCTTAATTCCCACATTTGCCCAGAGCGAGCCTATTCCCCAAGTGGAGACCATCCCTTGAGAACAAAACTCCCTGCCTTAGGTCAGGAAGCAGTGGGCTCAGCGGTCGACACTTGAGCTGTTCGTTCTGCTTAAGCCTGCTTCCACCACTGTGCATTCTAGGTGCCGCCCCGCCCCCAGCCCCCACCGCAGGCTGCTCTCATGGTTCTGTGCGAACTGAGTTAGGTCTCTGTGTCCACCCTGCAACTTACCCTGATTGGCTCCTTGCTTATTACCACGTTGTCTTTGCGCATTCATAATTTAAAGTTTCCTTCACTGTCCTTTTCACAGAATTTTTGGGAAAGTGGGAAACTTGTGGTTGATGTGTTTCACTAGATTGTCACAACTAATTATTACTTTAAAAACAAGAGAAGTTTCAGAGAAGCCTTGTTCTTATTTATGAATCACCCCCAGGGAATCAACACAGCCCTCTTCATATATGATGGTCGTTTTTATTCAGCCTCCAAACTTGCAGGGGGAAAGGGCATTCAAGGGGTTGGAGGATGTCTTAACAGGTAAGAACACTTGCTGCTCTTCCAAAGGACCTGGGTTCGATTCCTAGCACCCATATGGAGGCTCACATCTGTTTGTAACTTTGTTTCCAGGGGATCTGATGCCTGCCCTCTGAGGGCACCAGGCCCATACATGGTGCTCAGCGTACATATGCAGGCAAGATACCCACCTCCATAAAATGAAGCGAAAATAAAGCTTATTATGAGAAAGTCATTCCCCCACCGACACATGCTGGCGCTGTAAGGCTCTAGCATAGGTCAACCCTAAGGAAGTGCTGTGCTGCTTAGACTGGGTGTCTCCCCTGAGCGCAAACCTCCCATAGCCGTCAAGTGGCTCCCGGGCTGCGCTTTTTTGCTTAACTTAGTAGCGTGTCAATCTCTGTGTGTGTGTGCACGTGCACGCCATGTGTGTGAGACATCACGTGGCAGAAGCTGCTGAGCTCCTAGCCAGCATCTGTCCTTGATTTCTTCCTTACCAAATTTTGTTCCAGCTACAATGTATCCAGATTTTAAATTAAACCTCCATTTTCTGGTCTCCTTATAGATAAGCCCTGAGGGAGAATTTGGATTAAGAAATGGAAGCTGGAGTTCCCTGGGGAGGGGGGCTATTGCAGAGTAGGTTTACTAAGCTAGCTTGAATCATCTGACCTTTGCCCTTCTCCTTATCAGGGCCTAGCCAGTGGACAGTGCTCTGGGGCTGGAGTGGCCAGCCTACAGCCACAGTGGGCTGGCATGAGGACCAAAACTGCATCAGGATGACTAGTTGAAAGAGGGAAGAATTGCATCTCTTCTGCAACTGCAGAACTACCCAGTCAGACCCTGTGCTTTCATTTCCTGGTTTTTGGCTCTGTGAGAAAACAAAGCCTCTAGATGTATTTAAAGCACTATTTAGTCACATTTTCAATTTCTTGCAAGTGAGTCCAACCCACGCTGACACAGATTTTCTGTTTTGAGTTTGTCTGTTAGGCGTCTACTTGGTTATATGTTCAGAGAGGGTAACGAGAGAGGGCAGGGCAGATGTCACTGGCACCACTCTGTGCTTACCACCTTTCTGATGCCAAGTGGATTCCCCATCGTCTGGCTCCTACAATCCTACCAGAGGTCACCCTCCAGCTCAGGGGTTTTTTGCTTGTTACACATGTGACAGACTGGAAAGAAACCACAGGGAGTCACAGCCCTTCTTCCTTTCCACCAGTGGGAGTGTCAGTCCTTCACCTTCTACTGACGGAGCTGGTGTGCAAATTTCCAGCTTCTGCCTTCATCAGTGGGGTAATTCAAAGACGAGTTTCCTATTGGCTTCCAGGATATGCCGGTACACAGCTCTCATTGCCTGGGGTGCTGCCATGGTCTAGTCTTCACTGTCTTTCTTCCTTCGTCTACATCAAGGCCCCTCTACGTTACCAGGCTGGGAGAGTTGCTTCTGCGATAGAATGTGCCACATGTTGTTAGTGAAATGACCCTGGAAGTAGCTGTATGCTCTTTATGCACATATGTCAAGCAGATCTTTGGAGAGGAGCCTCGGGTAATGGTTCTTGCAGAGACGGTGTTGCAGGGCTCCTGCCTGCTCATCCTTTTATTGAGTCTTTTGCTCCTCCACAACCCTCTGAGATTCAGATCCACATGGATGGGACCAGCAGGGAGATGTGTTGGATATGTGTCCAGGGTGGTGGACAGCTTGAGGGGGGGTTGCTATGGCAATAAAGACAAAAAGCGAGGAGAGAAGACACCAACAATCACGTCCATCACTGCCTTTGCTGAGCTGTGTGTCTCATCAGCAGAGGCTGACATCAGTCTCTCGTTTTCATGTCTCCCAAGGGTTCTCAGAAGACAATTGAGAGTACGTCAAGTCACACACCGTTAGGAATGCTTCAAGTAGGTAAGGACCAAACTGTGTTACGATTTTCAGACTAAGGGTTGTATGTGGGAAATACAACTAGGCTATGTGTGACTGGGGAGCAAGAAGAACGCTGTCCAGTGGACCGATCCAGTGAGACTTCAGGTTTTGGGATCAAGCGGAATCAAACCCATAGCTGGTCTAGAGTGTTCTACACCACATGAAGGCACACTGTGCCCTCAAAACAGAGGCAGGCATGCTACTACTAACAAGCCTACGGAGGCCCATGTCTGGTTTTGGACATAAAGTTTTATTGGAACACAGCTATTGCTTGTCTGTTTGCATAATGCCCGTGACTACCTTTGTGCTGGACCTGGAGACCTGACTGCTTAAAACAGAGGCCTTGAAGCCTGCAAATACTTGCTGTCAGAACTTTACGAGGAAAATGTACTGACTGCCTTCAGCAGCTACCGAAAACCCCACCGAAATCTGCCCTTTCCTCCAGCCTCACCCCACTCCTGCCACTCCAGCTCAGTCCGTTCTCCACCAGTCCCGGTAATGGTGCTCTGAGCCCGCAGTGCATCTCGGAGTTAACCCGAAGCCCATCACGTGACATATAAACTCTAGTTCCGCACTTTTAGGGTGGTGCCCAAGACTTCAACTCCTACAAGCCGCCTGGGCACACGTAGGCTGCAGGGCCGAGGCCACACTTTGAGGAACAAGGTGGTAGGAAGCTAGAATTTTCTTATTATTGTTATCATTGTTTGGCATTGCCAGACAAAACTCATCTGTTCTGTTCTGGAGTCTTTACTATCCTCTCTCTCTCTCTCTCTCTCTGCACACACACACACATGCACACACACACACATGCACACACACACACACACACACACACACACACACACACACACACGTGTGAAATCACAGATTCCCCTTTCAGTAAATTCTGCCCTTCTGTAGGAGAGGCACCTTCAAGGGTTAACAAGCGAGGGAGCCAGAGCAGGAGGCAGGCCAGGACTCTAATTAGTCTCCTTTTTATATTTAGTTTGCTATTAGCTAATTCGCAGCACCTGTTCACTAGACAGATCTGTTTTTAATCTCTTCTAGTTCACTCCCTTGGCCAGGCAGCAGCAGACATGTTACTCCGTATGAGCCACAGACGTAAAGCCAAATAAAATAGCCCTTTCTCTGGAATTAGAAACGCAGAGGACTGAAACCAAGTGCAGCCAAGGCCGGGGGTGCCGGTGGGAAGACAGTGGGGTGTCCAGCATTCACCTCCTGGGGTGGGGGGCAAGCATGGGCTGTTTTCCGTCTTCTTGACTTTAAGCTCCAGCACATCTTTGAAATGCTTCACCCCTACCCCCGAAAGAGGAAGGCCAAGTTACAGGAAAGGTTCCCTCTGCGTGCTCTGATCAGAGAGCTGGCAGACAGCCTCACAGACATGATCTAAATAGCTCTAACTCTGATTCGACTATTTCATTAGCTTGGAGTTGCTCCAGTCACTTTCAGCCTTAGGGGTCCGCAGACCTTTCCGGATGCTGCAGGGGAACCGGAAACACCAGACTCGCTCTGAACCTTTCTCCTGGCCCTTGGGCCTATTCTCTGCTGGAAGTGGCTGGAGCTGAAGGATGGATGCACACGCAAGCACACGAATCACGAGTGGGCTATAAATGGACAGCGCACGTTCAAATGGCACCCATGTCGGGGAAGAGACCTCAGAGGGCTTTGTCCTGTGGGTCAATGCGACAACAAGGAAGTACTTCTGGGCGAGGTCTTTATGAACTAACAGGGGATATGCACTGTGAAGAGAGTCCTTAGCTTTCAAGTAGTTTTCTTCCAAAACCAAGGCCAGAGCAATGATAGCTCTGTGCAAGAACCATCTAGTGGCTTCTCAGTTATTCTGCATAACTCTAAGAACGGTTTGCAATAACTGGATTTTCATTTTCTTTTTCCTTTTTCTTCCTTCCTTCCTTCCTTTCTTCCTTCCTTCCCTCCCTCCCTCCCTCCCTCCCTCCCTCCCTCCCTCCCTCCCTCCTTCCTTCCTCCCTCCCTCCCTTCTTTCTCTTTCTTTCTTTCTTTCTTTCTTTCTTTCTTTCTTTCTTTCTTTCTTTCTTTCTTTCTTTCCTTTCTTTCGAGGCAGGGTTTCTCTGTGTAGCCTTGGCTGTCCTAGATTCACTTTGTAGACCAGGCTGCCTCGAACTCCGAGAGATCTGCCTGCCTCTGCCTTCCAAGTGCTGGGATTACAGGCGTGCACCACCGCACCCAGCTGGACTTTTGGTTTTTAATAGGTTCTTTTAGTAATTACATGTGCTCATTAACAATTTTGTGCGCATATATAATACACACGCACACACATACTGCATTACTCTCTCTTATCTCCCTCCTGCTCCAGCACCTCCTCCTCCCTTCTACCTGGTCTCAAAGATACAATGTTCTTAACATGGTCAGATGTTTGCTGTTTTTCCCTCTCTCCTTCCAGAACCACAGGCTAGCCTGACCCAGAACAGAGCGGTCTGGAGGAGATGAGGGAGGGCCTCTGCACTCGCCCAGTCTGCTTTGCGAGTTTAAAGAGTACTCACAGTTTGCCAGCACCATGTCAACTTACAGAGTTACGCATTTGCCACATGGAAAACCTATGTTAGTTTATACCACAGAGTAAGGTTCATTATCCCCCAAATATGTCATTTTCTCAGTCCTCCTTGCCTGGCATTAAGATGTTATAAATGATAGGCCTCTACACTGGGAAGCAGAAATGTCAAACTTTTTGTCTGTGTTCTGTGCCACAGTTACATCCGTGGACGTCAAGCTTGGGTAGCGTTTGACCTGGAGTTCTCCAGAGGACCAGAGCCACCAAGATGCCGCGGTTTGTCTACCTCTCCACCCATCTGTTATAAGGATCATGTCACCCCGAGGTGGAGGGTGCGGAGACCTGTGCCTGGTAGACTGGGGCTAGTTCCTGTCCCTGTCTGAAGACCTGAGAAGTGGGAGAGCCTACAGGATAAGCCACAGTCTGAGTCCTCATTCAAAGACAAGAGAAGACTGGTGTCCTGTATTAAGACAGGAGGGCAGAAACTTTGGGCAGAGTGTGGGGAATCTTATGGAAGAAGGGGAGATAGAAAGACTTGGAGGGGACAGGAGCTCCACAGGAGACCAAAAAATCTGGGCTTAGACGGTCCTGCAGAGTCTGATGCATCAGCCAAGGGCTGTGCATGAATTGGACCTAGAGCCCTGCTCAGAGATAGCCCATTGGCAGCTCAGTCTCCATGTGGGTTCCCTAGTAAGGGGAACAGGGGTTGCCTCTGACATGGACTCAGTGGCCAGCTCTTTGATCACCTTCCCCTGGTGTGGTGACCTAACTAGGCCATAGAGAAAGAGGATCCAGACAGTCCTGATGAGACCTGATAAGCTAGGGTCAGATAGTAGGGGAGGAGGACTTCCCTATTAGTGGACTAGGGGAGGGACATAGGGGCAGAAGAGGGAGGGAGGGTGGGATTGGGAGGAGATGAGGAAGGGGGCTACAGCCAGGATACAAAATGAATAAATTGTAATAAATAATAATAATAATAAAGATAAAAACTTAAAAAAACAGAACAAAACAGGAGGGCAGTCCTATGATAGATGGCACAGCCTACCAGGGCTGAGGACAACTGACTTTGTTCAGTGTACTGATTCCAACATCAATCCCCAAATAGCCACCCAGACTCCTAGAACACTGCCAATACACATCAGGGCTACCTTGGTCCAGAGAAGTTGACCCATGGAAGTAACTCTCCAGAGAGCCTAGGCTTTGAAGCACTGACTTTCTAATTGTTGGAGTGATGGTTTTTGTGCACATGCAAATGCTGATTTCTGTGCCTGGCTGAGATCTGATTGCAGTCTGGACTCTGGTATTGTCATTATTATGAAACGTCTCCCGTCTTAGTATTTGTAAGCATTGTTCTCCATCACCTTCCGGTTGGTCAAATAAAGAGTTGAACAGCCAATAGCTGGGCAGGAGAGAAAAAGGTGAGATTTCTGGGCCCAGAGAGAGGGAGAGGGTCTCAGGTGGGGACCAGGTGAGTTGTCGTCAGGATACTGATGGAGAAGGAGGTGCCAAGACTGAGATGGTTACATGGCAGGATGTAGGCCAGGCTAGTATTATCGGGTTAGAATAGCTGGCTATCTGGCCAGCTCAGGCCTAAAGCTTACAGTAAATAACTATTAGTCTCCTTGTCATTATTCAGAGCAAGGGCAAAGAAAAGACCTTACTTTCACATCAATTAGAAGTAAACACTCTCACAGTGTTCTCTGAGCAAGAGAAAACCATTTCGAGACCTTTGTCAGAATGTTCCACAAAAGACATTGGTTAATCTGGTTGGGTCAAAAGTGCCCATCTCTGAGAAGCCTACTAGATTTTGTGACTGGTCAGTTTGAGATACTTGTTGGACAATGTCCTGAGAGAGGCAGAGCTCTTGGCCTCTGACACGGGCTCTATGAGGCTTCCAAAGGCTAGCGAACTTGGTTAGAAAATCTACATTTTTACTTCATACATCCTCTGCCTGAAGTTGAATGTTTTTCTATAATAACATACAGATGACAAACCTTAGAGGTAATAATAATGCCAGTGACTTTGAAACAAAAAAACCCATGAATTATATAGTAATGCATATGTACATTTACTATAATCATTACGGTAAAGGCACGCATCGCAGAACAGTGTCACTTGTGTATGTTATAGCTGTAAAGTGGGGTAGTTATGAGGCCTGACCCAGGGCTTGAGAGTGAAGGCATTAATAAAAGAACAAGGAAAACCAGATGTTTTTGTGTATACCTGCACTCCCAGCACTCAGGAGGCTGAGGCAGCAGGACTGTGAGCTTGAAGCCGGCCTGGGCTGTCCATAGAAAGACTCTTGATAGAGAGAGGATGAGAAGGTGAAGAGAGAGAGACTAAGGGAAGCAGAGAAGAAATATAGAAAGGAAGAAAAGAAACAAGAATATACCTATGTTACAGAATTAAATATTCCAATATTATAAGTGTAGTTTGTAACTGTGTTTTGACTTGGGAATTTTAAATTGCGTTCTTAGGATGGGCCCATAGACTTATGAGATTGCCAAATGAATCATCCTGAGGCTGGCTGTGTTAGTGGGTGGAGGTCAGTGACAGTCTTGTAAGGAGGGCTGTGGACTCACACCTGAGGATGCCTCTGCACTTGATGCCAGGACATGAGTGTTTTGGCATTAATTTCTCCTCATGGAGAATCTATTTTGTGTCTACTTCTTCACCTTTTGGATCTTGAAGGTTGATAAGTGAACGTACTCTGCCTCCTTCAACTTTTCGGTGTGATCAGAGAAATTCAGTATTTTGAACAGAGAAGGATTTACGCTGAGATACTCAAGGGTCTCTAAAGCTTTGCTGTCATGGTGGGGCAGGAGTTTGAAGCTGGGGGTGGGCCTTCTTCATGTTGCTGTAGATGAATCTAGAAGCTGAGGACTTGACCAGCCACTGCAGTTGGTTCTTCACGGACTGTTCTGGATGCACGGATGCAGCATGTTGAATTGGCGATTCCTTACCCTGCCCCACAGAGGGACGTGCCCACACACACTTGTCGGCTTCCCCATTTCCTATAGGCTTTCCCCTCTAGAGAGGGCCTCCATGAGAAAACAAGTACATTTCTCCAATTTCTAGAGATCTTAAACATACTTACATCTTGCTTTCAGTTTGAGTGACAGAGGGTTGCTTGCATTGGACAATGTCAAGAGACACGGCTGGCAAAGGGATGTGCTGCTAAGCATGAAGGGGACAGAGTGAGGGGTGTTGCTAACTAGAATGGACAGGACAGCTCCCACAGCAAACCCTTTATCAGATGCCAGATACCAATACAGCCAGGTTGAGAACCTATTTCACAGTTTGAGGACAAAATTGTCAGGGAATACCTGCAGAGGCAAATGCTAAAGGGATAGTTGAACAGTTAAGTTGAAAATAGTGGTCCTTTCAAATGTAATACAGTTCTTAAAGAGAGAGAATGATCATTTTCTTCCACAGATATATATTTTCTCCTCTCTCCCCACTTCTCTCTCACTTTTTTTCCCCTTTGAGACAGGCTTTCTTTATTATGTAGCCCTGGCTGACCTGGAGCCCTCAATGTAGACCAGGCTAGCCTTGGGATTTCCCTGCTTCTGCCTCCTAAATTCTAGGATTAAAGGTGTGTCCCTCCACGCCTGTCTTATGTTCCTGTTTCAAAAGATTTACATATACTTTATATGTATGGGTGTTTACCTGGGGTGTGTCTATGCTCCTCGCGCATGCGGTGCCCATGGAGGCCAACAGAGGACAGCAGATCCTCTGGAAATAAAGTTGCAAACAATTGTGGGGGCCATGTGCTGGAAACTGGACCCAGTCCTTTGCAAGCGCAACGACTGTTCTTCACCACTGAGCCTTCTTGTAGTCCTAGGTTTATATTCTTGAAGCGATCAGGTAATTCTAGCTCTCCGTGCGGTGTCGGCATCATCTTGATGAGCTATGTGATTGTTAGGAATGTTGTGAGAATCAAAGCGGAGTCTTGTGTCTCAAACTCTGAAGCCAGAGGCCCGATAGCAGCACATATCGAAGAGATTTTTCCAAACTTCTGCTAGCTACAGGGCTGCTTGTAAGAGACAATTCTCTAACGTGCTGTCTCCACGGATGAACTGAACTGACGTGAATCCTGTGAAGAGCCGAGGCAACTGCGATTTTTCTATTTTAAAACAACTGAAATGAATCTCTCTTTGTCTTTAAAATCTTTCATTTTTCCTAACTTCTCTGGGTATAACTGTGCTGGGTCTGCATGCTGGATTGCTCTTTCCTGTAACTCGTTCACAAATAAGTGTTATTTTTCCAAGAGCCGTATTCCCAGTTCTAATTTTGGTTAGCATGATAGAGTTGCTCTATCATCTCTCTCTCTCCCTCTCCTTCCCTGTCTCTTTCTCTCTGTGTGTCTGTTATCCCCGTCTCCTTATCACTCTATCATCTATCAATCTATTATCTGTCTATCTTCTCGATATTGATCATTCTGTCATCTTCACATCTATGTATGTATCTGTCTGTCTGTCTGTCTATCTGTCTCTCTATAATGTCAAAGAGGAAGTGCTTGAACTTTGGAACAGGATGACTCCTTCCGAGTCCCTGTTGACTGTGCAGGATCTGGTGGTTCAGGATCTGGCTGTGAGTTTCTTGGTGGAGTTTGCTGTGACCAGATGTCTCACAAACACAGACCTTCATCCTGAAGCGGATCAGGAGTCAGAGTTTGCTCTCTCCACTGTGACGGGAGTACAGTTCCTGGGAGTAGCTCATGCTGCCGTGGCCTGGCCGTCTCCTGCCCACTCTCCTTAACCTGCTGGCTGATGCTCAGGGGGCAGGGCTGGTAAAGCAATTGCTTCAGCTTGGGTAGAAACGGAACATGAAGCTGGGCTTGGATGCATTGCATCTTCCTTCACTTTCCATTATTATGAAAGGAATGTGTTGACCCTTTTATTTTCTCACATGCCCACAGGCAGCCTTTGATGTTGATTTTAATCTGACTTAATCAGGTAAACAGAAGACGGAGATGGGGCCAACCTCTAAGCCAGGATGCAGATGTCTGTTCCATGGCTCTCCTAGATCCTGGAAACAGGAAAAATCCCTGGGGTATCTTAGGTGTGCTGAACTGTGTTTGGTTCTGCCTGCCAGGGATGGGATGGGAGGGCTATTTGGTTTAAATCATGTATGTGGCTTGGAGTCAGGAGGCAGCAGAGCGGAGACAGTTGGGTAGGAACCATGGGGAAGGTGGTGATGAATGGTTAATGTTTCTGCTGCCCACTCCAGTAATGAGCTGCATACCTCGCTCAGAGGGTGGAGTACGAAAAGAGGCTGAGGGATGCAAATCCACAAAAGATCACTCAAAACAGTGACACAAACAGGTGACAGAATTAGGGAGGGGGCAGGCTTTCCTCATCTCTCAACAACTTCACTATAACTTTCATGGCCCGGAATTCAAGACCCATCAGCAAAGTGGCCAAGCTGCTGAGGTCAGGCAGAAGATAGCTATAAAGGTGATCAGGTTTGGTAACTTGAGGTGAGACATGCGTGAATCCGTACCTTGGCACCAGGGGTCAGCAGATGGGAGACTTTCTGCCTTGCTCTGGGGCTGTCCAAAGAGGTCCAAGGATGGGTTCTATAGTGTCAACTAAAAGGGAGGGTCAGGAGTCAAGAACATCCTGTGGGATAGAAACCGGATTAGAGTCTGAGGATGGAGGTAGGTGGCAGAGTGCTTACCCAGCATGCACAAGGCACTGAGCTCAATCCCCAGGAACACACATGCGCACTCCAAGCAAAAGAAAACAAAGTAAAACAAAACAAACAGGGTTCAATAAGTAATCGAGGGTCTCTGTGTTTTATGGGCTATCAGCACTTCTCTCTGATAAATTTTGTTCTGCCTTAATCTTTGTATTAATTAATTTTTCTGTTGCTTTTGAGGAAACA